GCAGGCGGTTGGTTTTCCAGTTGGAACTTTTGGTGTTCAAGTTTCTGGGAGCTGTTGCAACTGGGCTAGCGCGTTTGGGCGCTTGGTTGGGTAAGCCACAGATCAGGAGCTCCGAACTGTTTTCAGGTCGTCGAAGACGACAAGATAGTCGAAACGTCTACCAAATAAAGCGGTTTCTCCACAACAATCCTGTTCGGCAAAACACTGCAAAACATTATGCTGTCAGTTGTGACACGTTAATAGCTATCAGGGTTGCTCTGCGGCGACTGAAATTTCGTCCAAACACCTCAATAGTCACAAACTCGTCCAAACGATCAGTACGGTGTGAACCTTGTGTTTTTGGATTTCTACTGATCTGATCGTACTCCTCTTCTATTCTAGGACTATTCTGCATCAGTAACCCGGTAAAGGTGCATCGAATTTGGTGTGTCCTTAATAAAAATTTGTATGCAACTCACTTGCACAATGTGATATACCTGTACACAAAATTGCTTCCAACTAGTAATAGTGAACCGATAGTAGTAGAACATAGAAATGTCACAAAAATCATACCATCTGGCCACCAGAAGGCTGCCGGCCCTGTGCTAGGCCATACAAAAGTGAAATAACGAGAATGAGGAATCTGGAAACAAATAGCTCAGTGGTTTTTTATCAAATAACTACAGGAAATGATGAAGAATCAATAAGAACCCTCAAGACCAAATGCAACTAGGTCGAATACTTAATTACTCTACAGACTCAATGCACGGTGAGAACGATAGATTGTTCCCACCATGGGGCTTGACTCTGAGAAGAAACTTTAAAGCTCCGCTCCAGCTACCGGGCCAGAATTAAACAAATCGTCATGTACCTCTTAAGAAAATCGTTTTAGTGTTGACTTGTGATCATAGCTTCGGTGGAGGAAGAGAGAGGAGATAGGTCATTTTATGAACTTTATCTCTTGAGATTGGATTTCGTTCATGACTTACCGGTGCAACCAGCAGATAACATACTGCATATACCATATCCATTACTGGTTTCATAAGGATCATATATCTGGAGTGATCATCATTCAACGCTTTACTGCGTAGTGAAAGGAATAGAAGCAGAAAGTTTGCAAATATAGCCAACGACGAGATTGTTGTCACCACAGTGCAGTAGTCGTAAGCCATTATCTAAACACTGTTTTTATTTACCACAGATGCTATGCAGTAGAACAAGCAGTCACCGTCATCAAGCGAGTTGTGGTAAGGACGATGCTACAAATTTTCCCTAGTGCTGAATGGATTCCGGAGTTCCAAGCTCCGTCAATCAAAATGACGAACTCCTCCGGGAGATTGAAATCAGGTAACCCGCAAGCGTGGTACTTACTAAATCTCTCGGGCGTCAAACAACCAAGAAGACGGTAGCCAGCACGATGGCCAGGCTTCTCTACCAAAGCTGTGAATGGAAGGAATGNAGTACTGTGGATGACGACAGGGACGGATGGGGACGTTACTGCACCCGTTCAAAGGATTCGATGAACAACGGGACGGCAGCAGGTGATACAGGTGATTCATTAAAATTACTGGGTTTGTTAAAAAATTTTTTTCAACTAATTCTATTATAAAGAAAGTCCAGCTAGTGTGGATTTCTTTCCCAATTAAAGTAACCACGACTGAGGGAACGATAGAGAAACAAGTCAATAGTTGTCTAGCGAAGGCGATTTTCCCAGAGCCGAGGACATGGCATACCATACAGAGCCTTCAGTCACATGAAAATGTTTTTAGCCGAAGAAACGGCGTAGTTATGAACTCGATTAACTTTAATGTACCAGTAGCACTTTGAATTTCAATGAATATTCATTGAACGTAGCAGGTGTTTCAATTATTACCTGTTTTCCAGTGCTTTCGTAAAACCTACGCTCAAATCAATCGTATAGTAATGCTCTATGGTGTATTGTTTCGTACTTTTCGAGAGTCCATTACTGAATTAATGGGAATCGAGAAAACTTGCCATGAAGCAACCCATCGACCAGAAGCATTGATTTGGCGATCCCAAAGTTCCTACTGATCAGGGTTCGAATCAATCAAATAGTAAAGCTGTGAGAGGAGCAATGCTGGATGCATAACTGAGAGTTACATGAAAACTAAACTGCTACACTATTTTTTAAAAGGTCCGCTTCAGTACATGGCGCATTCCGAGCACCACTGGGCCGTCACCTACTTCGCCAAAAAGATGGCAAAGCCTTTTCAAAAATAAAAAGAAGACCTGATAGGACGACCACCAACTTGATGGACCTGTTTGTTTCCCAAGTATTTTAGAGGAAGAACCCTACTACAGTAAATGCAAGTCGGGAGAGATAGGGCGGCATGAAAGTGTTGTGATCCCGGTGGGAGGACAGTCAGCCAATGGACGACAAAAGTATGAAAGCGATCTGCAACTTACTACTTCCTTACTTATTGATCTTACTATTTACCATTAGTGGCCTACATACTTGAATTGCAACTTACGCGACGGTGGTGTAGGACCAAGCTGCGCCCCATTGACGCGGATGGTCCGGGCATTGTTTCCCACATAGACATCCGTTGTTCCGTTCCCTGATCATGAGCGTAGTAGAGCATCACCAGGTTCTACGTCCCGATCAACCAGCCCTTTTATACCTATGGGGTCGTCTGAGTGGTGTCAGGTTTGTCTTGGAGATTGAAAGCAGTAATCTGGCTCCTGCAAGTCACTATGAAGGCTACGTGCATAGTCAAATACTGCCAACGAGTCTGGGGTGGAAGTCCAACTTGTGAGTGCATCCTACACACTGTAGTGAATGACGTAGAAGTCTTCAGAGCTGTGTAGCAGTTGAGGTTCAAGCAAGTTGTGTATAGCATTCGTTTAGCACAGCTAATTTTAGAATTTCACACAGATTTCTGTTATCATCTCGAAAATAAAATTGCCATTAGGTGAAGAAGTGAAAATAGTATATTAATTTGATTACTTTCTAAAAAACCAGCCAAAACGTCACAGCTGTCCATTCATTTCAGATCTTTGGGAGATTCCTCGATTACAATTGGTCTTCCATATTTTGGCCGATCGATGACAATCAATGAAACACGGTGCACCATCGAGTTGGTGTTCATCGAGGGGACCATACGTTGCCCATTGGGTGTAGCAACGCTGAAGATGTAGAGCGACCCCATCAATTCTCATAAGGCATCGGATTATCAAACTCGTTTTTTTAAAACAGCTTCATAGTAGCGAAAAAAGGAAATGGGAGGTTCTACATACAATCGCATACCACTCGAAAAAGCTTCTTCCGATCCCTGAGGAAACCTAGAGATCTCTTCGGCTTCTGACATTTCAAATATTCAATAGAGCGAAAAACAGAGCGAGAAAAAGTGTTTTCTTGCCGTACCGGCCTTGTCGTCTTTGTCACAGCTTGGAGGCCAAGGATACATGGGACTGATCAGGAGGGATAGCATTCAAGACTCTGTCGGCTCGATTCCTCGGCTAAGATCAGTTTTGCTGCCCAAATACTGCTACAGTAACTATGAAACAATCACGAGTCCTACCAGGTTGGCGATGTATGGACAAAAATATGTCGCCAAACTTGTGAGACTTTCGCATCGCATACTGTGGCGAAATAACAGCAGTTAACAAAACATCAAGTCCATTCCCAAATTCCAATAAAATGTAGGTAAAGACTATTTGCGGTGGACAACCGATGTACGAGTCAGTTCTCCCATCCTCCCAAATGAAAGTGTACCCATTGGATAGAGTAGAGCGTTAAAGCCTTAGCATCGTGGATGTGATAGTGTGCGTCACTTGCCGTTCACTATACCACTTCCGCCCTTAAATATGGATATAGGGATATAGGGTTTTGGGACTTAGAGGCCAGCCGGTCATAAAAATATCATGAGGTACCTGAATTGTGTAGGATAATGGAAGTACTATGCGTGTGAAAGGTAATGGATGTCAAGTAGAGGAGGTGGAGTAGAAGAAGTCAGTAATGATGGGAATTTAAATGATACTATTTCCGTATTCTGTTCCGCTTGTAACGCTCCAGAAACTTTCACAGAACCCATCAAAGATTAGGTACAGGCGTATTGAGAATAGCCATTCCACAAATGTTCAATAGCAATAAGTACATCCACCAGACATTGTTATTGCCATTGCATGCTTACTAATTATACTGGGAATGCTCTTTTATGATGCATTAGACATTGCTTCGCAGTGAAGCATACAAGGACAGCGATTCAAGTTCTTTACAGCTTACTTCATTCAAATTCCAAAGGCGTTTCTTGCTATTGGAAACCTCTAGAAAATTTCAGGAAGGATGATCAGTACTTTTATGGATGGCTAGCCTTTCTTTTTCCAAGTCTCTGTCTGTCTTCCATGTATAATCAGTGAACGAAATATGGCTGTCGAATAGCCCACTGTAACAGTAGAGACCCCTAAACATCAAGTAATGATGAATTACAACTCGGGCTTCAAAAGGTCCTTATGGTGCCGTTCGGACCACTTATAGGTTGGCCTGGAGTGGGGTCTCCTCGGTCCCGCCGGGAAGGTACAGTAACTGCAAAGAGCGAGAGTCTGCCATGTGGCTATGCTTAACCATGGACTCTGTCTGCTCTTTCCATCACGCGACGATTGAATCATCTAATCTTGTCTCCGTCTTCTGGTGCACAGTCAACGTCAACGCCATCGACGTAGCTCCACTGGTTCGTGCAGCATCACCATATTATCATCTACCAATGGTGCTGCTAAGTTTACCTCATGCAAATAATGTCCAGAGGAATGGTTCGCAGCTATGGAAGGACATGGAACAGCAGTACCAGGAGGCTGGGAGGATTTGGATGGCCATTGATTAAGGCTCAAACCGTGTCCGTAAGTCCAAAGTAGCTTTCATGTTTAGATGTATTTTCCATGTTCTTTTTCACACAATTATTCATACCATTAAATGCACATTTATTCGCATCTAATCTCACATTTATTTTCATATATAACTTCTCATAAAAGTATAATCCTTAATGTGTGCTTGGTATGTGATGTGTGGTAACATCCGTATACCGCAGTCATCCTGTTATACACGAGGATAGGCTCGTAGGCCATGTAGGAGCACGCGTCCGTCGCCTCGAGGGAACTCGACGCTTTGTAAGCAATCCTCAGAGTACTGCGGAGGCAGTACCAGCCCGTAAGAAGACGAAAGGGGACTAGCTGCTTCCATAGACCGCCGGCCGGCCGGCCGGCGTGACGGCATGCCAACCGAGTCAGTGCTAGAGGGAAGGGGGGAGGCAGACGGTCGGTCAGCCCCTTCGAAAGGCTGAAAACAAAAAAGAACAAGATCAAAAACCAAGCAACCAGGGGCCTGTGCAAATGGTTTTTGATCTTGTCTCTCTTTGTTTACGGCCCTTCGAGGGGCCTGACCGACCGTCTGCCTCCCGCCTCCCTCTAGCACTGCCTCGGCTGGCACGCCAGCACGCCGGCGGACTATGGAAGCTGCCACTAGGGCAGCCCAGGCCTACCAAGTGGTAGATGGATACGAGCATAGCGAGAGGGCAGAAGATCCCGGTCACCTAGTTCAAGGGGCTGTGGTCGCCCTGCCAAGCAACAACCAATGCGGAGCGGCCTCGGTGGAGCGGTCCCGACGGCGCGGCAGCCATCGACATCTCCCAACAACTGGGAGGTGGACCAATGCAGCTCCTCAAGATCTACATTTCGAGTTACTGTGAAAAACCCGAACCCCCAAAGCACCTACGGAAGAAAATGCGAGCGTTACATCGAGGAAACTGCATGGCTCCTTTCTGGAGCATTAAACGATAATGACCAGATAGACACAGACAAGATTCAGAAATAGGTACTTCGACCTTGCAACTCCCCCATCTCGGCGCATGGTATTTAAAAGCCAAAATACACTTGACCTGTCCAGAACTACGTGAAAGCCAAAAGTGTTTCGTTCCGAGCCGGTGATGCAGCCGGCAAGCACTTTTCAAACGTTGACGAAGAGCAGTGTTTTACCCGGGACGCTGAAACAGTTTAGAAGGTAGATAGCTGCCAAGCTATCAAGCTGTGTAACTTCGTAGTCGTTCGGGATTGATTGTCATTAAAAGGTGCTTATTTTGATCACCTCCTTTATTTCTGAATGTTTCCGTCTGTTATGTGGTAATGATTTAACTAAGTCGCCTGTATTGTATTTGTCGAGCTTTCTTTTCTGCCGGAATGGTTTAAGTTTTGTTCTCTTACGTTCGCCATACGCGCCGTATATACATATACTATATATACATATACATATACATATACATATACATATACAAACGTTGTTGCCGCTATACCCGCTATACAGGATCAGGTTAAGAGGGGCTTGAATGATGGGATTCTGTGTACACTCGTGTCCTATTGTTATAACTACCGTAGAACTTCTTAGTGAACGAAGCTGACTACAGGCTCTCTGCTTAGAGTCGCCATACCGCCTACCGAGCATCCAGGTCACTGAGGGTTGGCTAAAGTGAAATAGCCAGAAGTGCCTAAAAGTTGGGCGTCAAGCCACATGTTCTTTGTGTCTGCAGTACTCTTTCTACGATAAATGTCTTTATATCCTGCTCATCTTCGTCAGTTTATCTCTAGAGCTTAATCAATCTCAGATTGACTTCTTGACCTAGGTACAAGTTCCGTTAGAAGATGTCTGTGCCCTTCCATGTTAAAGATGTGAGTTTATTTGTTGCAGCAAATTAATGGACATTCATGACGACTTCTTTTAAATCCTTTCCACTTCGATTCCACTGTTTTCATCGTGTATGTGTGCCTCTTCACTCAAATCGTGGATTTGATCAGGATGAACTTGGAACCTTTTCTTCACGAAACGCGTAGTAATCACCCATTGTACATTGTATGGCTGCTTTCACATTTTCTAAAGAAGTCACTAGAACTACTCAGTTATTTATTAGAAACTCAGAGGTAATTTACTTCGAATGCTTGGTGAAGGAATTAATAGCAGTAGACATAGTCTTGAAAGTGGTAGTCACAGGTAAAACGGATGCAGTTGGTTTGTCGATAACGTGTAGGGTAACAAGACATTGTCTTCGATAGTCCTTTACGAATAAAATTGTGATAATTGGTGTTACTAACGGATACAATGCCATGGCGACACCAGAAAAATAATTCAAAAAAACTGGACTCTCAAGTCCAGTGAAAAACATAAAATACATCAAGCTCAGCGGTAGATTCATCAAAAGCATTGGACAAATGATCTGAAAAATCAGCTGATTATTTGATATTTGGCCCAATATGAAAGGAAACTTTAACTATTCTGTCAAAAACTTACTTGAATCGATAGTAGAATGAGCATTTTTCTGTGAGCCTCTTTTGTTCGTCTACTCAGCAAGTTGCTTTTCAAGGACCGATGGATTTGCAATGCACAGAAGGGACTCACTTGAGCAACACAAAGCAACATGATTAATGACTCGATGAAAATAGCCATTTTGATCGGGTCGGCTCCCCCCTACAAGAATGAAGTCAGACAAGAAATATACTTGGGAGACGGGCGCTAGGAACGATTTTGGGTAATCGATTTGCCGCACGCGGCTGTCGCGGACCACTCATTCGCTGTTATTACAGCTCTAGCGTCCTTCATTCAGCTCAATCGATATGCGATCATTATTTTATGCATAATTCTACTATTAGTACTTTTGTTCTTGTATTTCTTACCTACTGCTGCATCCTGCTACATTCCTTCGCGCGCGACGCCCCTCTCACCGCGACGCGACCATTTCGTTCCTAACGCACCACACCCAATATATTTGAATTGGTCCTTTTTGTGTAACACGCGCTCGATTACCATGAAATTGAGGCCACGTCACACCGTTACTGGATCGTAGATCGACAACCGATTAAGTGATTTTATTGATCGTGAAGTTGGCCTTGCCTGGTGAAGCTATGAAGCTATTTCGTCTTTTTCAACCCCAAAAGATCTCCCACATTTTTAGTGACATAGGATAATGTCTTTTGCCTCAATCAAATCCTTTTAGGATGTGCCCCACATTCGACCTTCATTCAGAGGCGGGTTGAATGCGTATGTGGGCTATGCCGCGTCTTGCGGTGCCGATGTAGCAGCTAATGCTTCTATCCTACCAGACCAGTATGATACCAATTAGCTGACTTCGGGAAGACATAAAAACTGGTCTGTCCAGCCGACTACTGATCCGGGAATTGAACTCGGACCAAGCGTACATGACAGGCTGAGGCTACCACCTTCATAGTTAAGCCGGAAATTTTCGATTCCGAAGAGCTTAACGACTTTTAACTGAAAATTGTTCAAATGATCACACAACCGTCATAACGACACATGGCATACTTTGTTCCGAAGATATTTCAATTCTTAAAAGCACAGTTCAAGATAAAAATGGTTTCTGAGTTATCTCCCCAGGAATGCCCAATGGCCCCAAGGGAACAGGAAGGACGCTGTCGAGCCCAAAAACTCAACAGCTAGGGCATAGTGAGAGCCTATTACCGGTTTGCCCGTACTTCTCGCCCTCGATCGATGTCATGTCAGACGAGCGTCGAGGATACAGATTACAATGTTCGCTCTAAGACCCACACACACTCAGCTGATCGCTAAGTGATGAGGCGATGTCCTTCTCCCGCAATAGGAGCCCAGAACACATTCCTATACCCGCTACGGCACAACACCATCATGAATGGTCGTGTTTAGCGGACTTGCAGATGCTGGCACCATTGGAAATGAAGCAGGTTTTTGTTAATTTGGTCGGCTGAATGGTTACCAGCTACACGTAAAGCTCTGCACTGTCTCGGATCTCCATCACTCTCCTAATCGCAACAGAAACAAATGGTTCAGGCGAGGCCTTATGTTTTACACTTGGGCGAATTTTCTCTTTGTTCATAACTGATATACTTGCACTTTGAATCAACACCTTCACATGCTAACCACCTAAGGTGCTAACCATCCTTCTGAACAGGCTGATACCGATAAGACGGTCGTGAGCGGGGCTCAATCTGAGAGCTACTGTCAAAGGTCTGTTGGTGCAGATCGGGTCAACATAAGTTAGCAATGCATAGGCTGAACGAACTGTACTTTCTAAAAGAACAGCTTTCGACACCTGAAACTTACCAAATTTGATACACCAATATACACCTTTTGGTTGACATTTATACTTCCATTCCATACTTTTTGAGCCTGGTTTACAAACTGTTCACTAGGCCATAAACCATAATAAATCATTGCAAGCCAATTAATAACAAACAACGAGTTGATCAGAGCTCCGACGATTAAGTGTTTGTATGATGAATAAATATAGGCAAGTTTACTCCTGCAACGGATTACAATGAGAAGATCAATCCTTTGCCATGATGGAGCCTTTTCCCACGATGAAGAACATCCGAATACACAACTTCTCTAGGGAGAAGCGCTCAGCGGCCCTTCGCCACCATAAGTCATCTACATCGTCTTCCCAGGTAGCTCCTTCGAGCCAATGAAAGTGTTCACCAGTTTGGAGCATCCGTTACCCTAGTCTTAGGCTTTGACGAAGAAGCTATCTGAGCAAGAGTGTAGTAGGAATGAAAAGGCTCTCCACTTTGGCACCCATCAGGAGCACATAACACCGCAGTGATCCCAAATATCCTTCACTAACTCACCTGCATAAGGTAATATATCTGTATAAAAAGTTATTCCCAACAAATACCAGAGTAGCCATAGTCGTGAGACATAGGAAGATTATAAAAATCATACCCTGTGGCCACCATGTATATGCCGGCCCTGTACTAAGAAATACAAAAGTGAATTCACGAGATATAGGTACCTGAAAAACATACTAATTGATTCATGTAAGCAGTGATAATTTTGCCCTGCTGACTCCCCACCACCATCTAGTGCGAACCATATAGAGGAATCTCAATCGGGACGTCGCACCTAGCCCGGCTACCTCATTTCGATGCCCGAGCTTCACTCTAAAAAGCGCTGCTTTTCCAAGTCACTTCGAGAGCGAGCCCTATATCAGCCCGTGCCTATTATAGCTGAGTGCTTATTTGGAAGAATTTCGAACATTTTAGAACTCGAGCACATCAGAGGCCCATCAGAAAGACCTCTCGATGTGAATCCTAGGTCATTACTTACCGGTGCAACCAGCAAGAAGCTTACTGCATATATAAAGTCCACTATAGGTGTTGCAAGAAGTAATTTTCTACAAGGATCCGTAGTTGTTGAGCAGTTACGGGTTGTCAGATACAGAAGGAGACAGTTGGCTAGTATGCTCATGGAACAAATCACAGCTACTAGAGTAAAGTAGTCGTACATCTCCCGACAACTCTGAAAGTTTCTAAACATTATATAGTCGAAAAGAATTCTTGCTACTGTTTTGACCGCTCAGGAGCTAAAATGAGCCTCATCAACTCCCTGAAGGCGAGGTTAGGGGGAATTAAGCAAATAATTCAGCTGTACGTCAGGCTGGTGCACAACGTTTTCTAAGAGCAAGCAAAGATTGGAGCACGCTTTGAACAGTAACCATGCAATCCAAAGTTCTTTCGGTCGAGCTTCACCCGTCATCTGACGACACCATTCTGCTGCTCCAGTTAGACCAATAACGCCCCCATTCGTCACTGACGCGATTGGCAAAGGTCCTATGAACTTCCTTGCTCGAGGAGCACGAGCGAACGATTCCTTCCGTCCTGTGCTTCCGCAAAGAAATGTCCGGTGTTAGCTGTCCTGGTGCCCATTTAACCTCGCGTGGGAAACAGTCTGTGACTGCCGTCATGATCCATCCATTTTCACAGAGTCGTATGATATGCCCACCCTCACCCCCACCTCACTCTCCGATATCAGAATCACCGACGTGTACTTTGAAGTGTTTCTGATAAACTCTCATCAGCAGAACGCCATCTTCCACCCTGCTACTGCACAATCCAGCATCTTCGGACATTCTCCCCTCGGAATCCCCTCGAACGATGGTGACCGCATACAAATCCTGCTCGCACTGAATTCAAGTTTTTGAAACGTAGGTCAATGCTAGAAGGACAACAGAGTCAGAAAGATGATGTTCTGGATGTTCCCCCGACGTCATAGCTGGCTGTCGTTCACTTCTTTCTCCTCAATTCTATAGATAGATCATCCGCCGTGCCGATGGCGCGACCGTAACTCGCGTAGCAATCGGAGGTGTTCACTTCGCTGATCATGAATGGACCATCAGCATTTCTGGGTTCCTACATATTTTACTTATGGACACTTTCTTTAGGGAATTCGTCCAGGTCCGCTGGGAGCTGCGGTCTATCCACCTATTCTGTGGCCATGGCTACCTGCGCAAACAACGCACGCGAATGACCATAACAACCATGACGTATGCTAGCTCTACGAGCCAAACTTTCCCAGAATCTTGCTCATCAGTTAGAAAAAAGGTGAAGAATAGTTCGGATAGCTGGTCTCGTTAGAAAAATAACCATTGCAAACAGGGAGCAGCAACGAAGTGAGCATGTCGCGTAGAGGTAAGTTAGTGGAAAGAAATCAGATTTATACATTATTCACACATTTGAATCACCTGAAAGTCACTAAGGAAACGTTTAAATATAATACAGTAGAATACCAATTACCCTTCTCATAAATACTTAATGACCCACAGTCCTTCAAATTGCCTTCGCCACTCATTCTTGCCCAGAATGTCTGAGATGTCTAAGTGCAGTTCTTGTATAATACACATACCACTAGTCCTCAAGAACCCAGTCTCCCACTTCCATTCCTTCGCACCTCGAGAACTGTCGTAACAAGAACAAAAAATAAACCCGTAAAAAACACATAGAATAGAAACAAAAACGAATAAAAACGACAAAAATAACAAAAACAATAACAATAAAAAACGCAAAATATGACTTAATTCAGTAAGTTTTCCCTTCGAAGTGCAAAAATATACCTATTGTCGCTCACTATCCTCAGAGGACGTAATTGCCGCTCACTACCCTCAAAAAGGATGCGATTATTGGTCCTGAACAAGCCCTGTCTCACCAATTCAAATGAAGCAGTTCGTTGTAAAACCAACCAACTGACACACACTGACCAAAGACACAGCAGCTCTGGAAATCTCGTCCGAACACCTTTGTTATCTTTCGTTCTAGCTGAGCCTCGCCGTGCCGATGATATAGTATTTAAAAAACTACAAAAGGAGCTTTTATCATCAGGTTTATTACTCATGAGCTTCCACCTGGCATCTTTCCCTTGTGCAGACTTTCAATGTTCCGGTAGCTCAAGGCATTCCTCCTTCCAAGACTCTGCAGAGCTGCAAGATGCCATGTGTAAGCTCCTCATTCCAGCACAAATGGTTCATAATCTCTGAACAAGAGCTCTGACGCTTATGCGTTGTGCTTATGACATGTATATCCAGCAAGAGAAGCGAAGCCGGCTTCATTCGAGTACGCTTGTGGAAAGTCGGCTTGGGACTGACTCTAACGAAGTCGATGCTCATGAGTGATGGACTGTTAGCTCCTTTCATGCCTTATATCCTTTTACACTTAAGGACGCAAACTTCTCTGAGTGTTCCAGTTACATGTACTAGGGTCAAGAAGCCCACAGACCCCAACATCTAGCTCTGGAGCTGATGAG